ATTGAATTTACTGAATAAAACTTCAAAATTCACTATTTTGGAATAGAAGGAAGAGACAATGACATTTTCAATCCCACAAAGAATTTTCATAGACACTCATATACATGATGAAACCAATAAGAAAAATGTTCTCACCTTGGACATTTTTCTTTCATAAGTAAATTACAAATAAATTTGATGAAACATATATAAAATCTTTAAAATTGTTTATGAATATAATATATTATGTATGTATTATAATAAAATTTATGTATATAACTTGTTGGTTCAGTTCGGTTATTTCTTCGATTTTTTCCGAACAAAACCATAACCAAACCAAATACTATCGGTTCTTAACAATCTAAAACCAAACTAAACCAAAACCCAAATTAAATCGGTTTGGTTTGGTTTTTCGGTTTGGATCGGTTTTTATCCAAACCATGAACACCCCTAGCCATAAATATAAATTAGAGTTATTTTTTACTTTTTGTGAGCAATTTGGATTGAAAAATTTTAAGATACTTTTTGTTGTTTTTTAATCTTTTTTAAAAAAAATCTAAAAATCCAACTTTTAAATTTTTTATGTCAAAACATATTTTCCGGAGTTAGAATTCTTAAAAAAGAATTCTACTAAAATATTCTCTTGATTTTGAAGATAATTTAGAATATCTCTTTAAGCCAATAAAAGTGGTGATGTAGTACTTAAATTAAACATGTCAAAGGTCTGTTTGGCACCTTTGGGCATGTCTTGACATCTCTATCAGAATCGTTTGTTTTCTTACTACCACTACTATCTTCGAGATACAAATTTTAACACTTATACTTACTTTTCTTATTTTATCCATCGTGCAAATTAAATTTTAAAAAATAAAAATAATTTAATATTTAAGAAGTAATATACTAAATAAATAAGTGATGGAACGATGATATACCAAAGTTGAAAACTTTTATTTTATGTTGTTAATTGCAAGAATAATAAGAGATTGCTAGAGAAATTAAGACTTAAAGAGAAAATTGAGAGATAATAAGGAGATTAATGTTGTAGAAAAAATGATGAAATTTAGAAAGTATTTATAGATAAAAAATGAATGAAAAAGTATTTTATTTTATTTTAACTTTGGAGTTTAAAATATTTTTAGGAAGTTTGGAGGTGTTTTGGGCTTCACTTTCCAGCTTTTTTAGTTGGCCCAATGGCTATTTTTGCAAAGTAGAAACCAAAGTGTAATTAAAGGTTTAAAATTTATAGCTCGTCTTAAAACTAGAGAAACCTAAAAAGGAATTGACTACAAAAGAATGAGAATATAAGTAAAGCACAATATTAAATATATCATTTTTGTTATAGGTAAATTTTAATAATATTTTACATATATTAAACATTAAAAATACATCTCTAGAACGAGAGGAACATATGTAATATATTCTTCAAACACAATATTATTTATTTCACACACTAGATAGCTAGCTAGAACTAGCTAGTCAATATCACACAAAGACACACATATATATTTGTGTGTAAACATACATATATATATATTTTTTTTTGCATATGTATAAATAGGGCTATGAGCCATTGAGTAGCATTGATGTTTTATTACTTGAGAAGGTGACCCTCAATATCTTTTGTCACGTGAAGGACAAAACCCAAGAGAACAAGAGGCTCTGGTATGTCTTCAGTTTTCTTCTCATATAGAAATGTCCATGTAGTCCATTGATGGTCACATGCTGTGATAATAGTAAAGGAATTGTACAACTCTAACAGATCTCCACCAACCACTTTCCAAGTGATTGATTTAGTTTGAGGATCGACAGCTTCAATCACTTGCTTTGAAATCTTATCTTTTCCATCTATAATCAATAAAATAAAAAATATAAGAGATGATAATAAGCAACTTTGTTGGATAGAATGAAAGCATAAGGCCCAAATGTAAACTGTAGCCCAATAAACTAAGATGGCCCATGTAATTAGGTAGTTAGATTAGTGAACTATAAATATCTTCAATGTACTCCTAACGGCTACTAATTTTCTTCTCTCTTCCTCCTGTATGTTTCTCATAGTTCACCTCATTCTTGAGGATCTTGAGCTTAACAGTTACTCACTTCATGATATCAGAGCTACGGCGATCGGCATCCAATCGAGAGATTCAATTGAAGAATTGAGAGGCAATCGAGGAATTCAAATTGAGAGGAGATTCTGAAATTCCAATCTGCTACAATGTCTACATAGAAATCCAGATGAGTTTCAATTAACAAATCATAGAAGTTAACTGTATAGTTGAAGTGATTGTTAAATTCAATTGCTCAATATTGCCATCAGATTATACTCTTCTATAAGCAATTGCTAAGTTTAGTTGCATCGAAGAACAACTTTGAAAATTTTTGTTTGTAAGGTGTTTGTGATAAGTCCAGGCATCTAAAGTTGTGTGTATATCTTGTGTAAAAAAAAAAAAAGTTGTTGAAAATCTCTTAGTCTGCGTAGCCAAGGAAAAAAATGGTTAATGAAGTAACTAGAAATACTAGTGCTACTACTGGAGTTAACACTACAATTGACTATAATCATCCACTGTATCTACAGTCCACAGATGTAAGTGTAGCGTCTATTATCTCATTTCAGTTGAAAGGCAATGAAAACTATATAGTGTGGAGTAGGTCTATGAGGATTGCATTACTTGGAAGGAATAAGTTAGGACTGGTTGATGGTACTTGGAAGAAGGAGTCATTTCCTGAGAGTTTAGGGCATCAATGGGAACGTGTGAATGCTATAGTACTGTCATGGCTAATGAATTCTGTGGCTAACAATTTGATTGGAGGTGTGGTCTATGCCATTAATGCACAGGCTGTATGGGAAGATTTGAAGAAAGATTTGAAAAGGTTGATGGTTCTAGGGCATTCAACATTCACCAGGAGATTGCTACTTGCACTCAAGGTGCTCAGTCGGTGTCTGAGTACTACACAAAGATGAAGGATTTGTGGGATGAATTTAGTTCTATGATCCCCGCTCCAAGTTGTAACTGTGAAAAATCTAAAGACTTTGTCATATATTTTCAAAGGCAGAAATTATATCAGTTCCTAATGGGACTAAATGAGTCGTATGCTCAAGTTAGAAGTCACATTCTGTTACTTAGTCCTGTTCCGAGTGTAAATCAGGCCTATGCTATGGTAATGAGTGATGAAAATCAAAGAACAATGTCTGTTACATCTAACTCAACTGGTCTCTTAAGTGCAATGACTAATAAAAGTCGAGGTATGGGTGAGTTAGATGCATTAGCTATGTACTCTAGAGCTGGAAGTTCAAGGCCTAAAAGAAAGTACAATCCAAATTACAACCCCAATGCCTTCTGTGATCATTGCAAGCTCAAAGGTCATTACAAGGTGGATTGCT